GACTTCACTCCTGGCGTGACTGCTGGGCACTAGAGGCACACGGCATCCTCCTGCAGCGAGGAGCCTGCAGGAATGGCAGACCCCGCTCTACAGGGATTCCCTTCCCTGCCAGTAACAGAGCCAGTTACTTCAACAGAGCGGAGGAACCCATACATTGAGGAGCTCAGGGTGAAGTAGCAGTAGAACAGGACAAAACGCTGTCCGTCCTCCGATGCTGCTGCTCCCAGCCATTGCGATACAGCCAGCTAAGAGCTTCAGTCATCCTTCAGTTCTGACTCACTTCCCCGAGATTTACTTTAGCACTTCATTTGAGTTACTAATGAGTTACAAAGTGAAATAATTTACTAAGAATCAGAAAAATATTTTCTTTTGGTCTCAGATGCAGAATTTCAGCGGATTGATGTACTGATTGCACTTTCCTAGACATGTCAGTTGCTTTAATCAATTAATTAATTGTTCCCCGTTTTGTTACAGCCCCTTTGCTCTCATCCAGCAGCTTACTGCCTACTATAATTCCTAGGTACTTTTTGAAAGAGGTAGCAGAAAGAAGACACAGTCATAAAGTCCCCTACTTTCTGTGAAATATAATTTCACCTCCTGGTCCTGGTAGGTGAAAAAAACCCTTTAATACTATTATGCACAGAAAGGCTACCTTGGAGGCTCTGTAGTAGATACATTCACAACAAGCATGAACTTTCTCTCCCACCAAAACTAAACAAAAGGACCCTGAATAAGTATGGGCCAGAGTTTAAAAATTATTTAGACAGACAGAAGTCTACTTTCAAAGCTGCTTGGATGCCAACTCCTGTTAAGAGAATGGCATTTAAGCATCCTGCTTAGGCTTCTATCTGCGACCTTAGATAACTAAGTCTTTAAAAATCTATTTGTTAGAGACTGATCCAAAGCCACGAGATACATACACTAACACAACTAAAAAAACAGCAATAGTTTATGTTTTGAAAAGTGTGTCTGTTTAAACAGCAGGTAACGCCCAGCCTGGAACATCTGCCAAATGGCCAACATGATCATCCCAGAGGGAAGCCAGTAACCTGTCAGGGCTGAGCCCAGCCACGCTCCCACGGTGTTTTGTTGCTGTGGCTTTTGCAATGTGTTGTTCCAGCCCCAGGCACCCCCTGAAAGCACCGTGCTGCAGGGGTGATCCAGGTGGCCCTGAGATTCCTCCTCACACCTTCCTCCCATGCCTCCCTGTAGGACCCTTTGTCCTGTTATTTCCCCATGGTTAGCACACCAGTAGATCATCCAGACTATGGGGGGAAACTAAATACCCCCATTTCAGTGGGCTCATGAATCCACACTCATTTCTGGAAACCTCTTTGCTACTCCATGGCTAGTAGACCGGTCTTGTGTCAGCGCACACGCCATGGTCCCCTAAGATAGACTACCACCAGTACCCGGGTGTGGGGCAACTGGTCAGGTTTTCCCCATAATGGGGCTGAGATTTTGCTGTGCAGGCAGTGAGTGGCTGGTGCTGCTGCACAGCCGCCCACCTCCCAGCACTCCCTCACCTCTCAGCGGGAAAATGGGGCTGGAGAGCTGCTTTCAAGCGGGCTTTTCCCTCAAGTGGGGGCCTCGGCAATAAGCCTGATTGGGAGAAGACACATTTTAGGATGTGCATTGGCTGCAGACGAGCAGGATGATTCATCACCGCCTGTCTGCAAGATGAGGTAGATTCATCGAGTTCTCCACAGAGCCACACAGCATATTAGCAGCAGGCTTGAGTCTAATAATAATACTCTGCCAACAATTAAAAATATAACTCCATTTAAGGGCGAGATACACAGCTTGGGGTAAAGACTGTAGGATGTAAAAAATGACACCAGTGGGTATTTTAAGACAAAACAGCAGAAGGTACAAGCTGGCTGCACGGCATGGCTCGCTCCCCCGCGCTGGGCGGCCACTTCCATCCCCTCCGAGAGCCAGAGCAAAGCCCCCAAACTCGCTGCCTCTTGTGAGCAGCAGCTGCTGAAGACACTGTAGAGGTTTGTCCCACCTTTGGTTTGGGGCCAAACAGGCAGGTTTAGGGACCAGGAGGCTGGGATTTGCAACGTGGGGAAGAGTTCCCGATGTCCCACAGATCCCAGGTGTTCCACCCTCCACTCAGGTCTCAGGGACAGTTGTCCGTACTTGAGAGCATGTGCCGGGAAGGTTGCCACATTGCTTTGGGAGCTCAGGAGATTAATAGAGATGTTCCAGAGCAGATTTAGCAGCAAATGAAGCAAAACAAAACCCTGTTGTCATTTCCATGTCTCTGAACTTGTTGGCCATTACCCAGACCTGTCTGAGCTCACCTGAGGGAAGGCAGGGAGAGTTTTATCTGGTAAAATAGCTCAGAGAGAGAGATAATAGACTGATAATACTACCTGTGCCAGAACCCCCTTGGAAAAATTAAGAGCTAACGAAAGAGGCATATACTTATAGACAAAAAAGGACTTGCACGCAGCCCAAGCCTAGTCCAGGCTCTTAGCCAATCTAACCAGTGCAACAGATGAGGAGTCTTAGAAAGTGAAAAATAATTCTGACCAGAATTGTCAGAGGAGCCTAAGTCAAACAGCCTGACTGTGGCCTGGTTCCTTCCCCTGCCACAGGCAACCTTCATGCTCCTTATATAGCTCTCCCTGTACGACTTCCTGAAAAAAAAATACATATTCCTTAGCTGGGATGGACAGCACATGAACAGTACAGCATGCATGTTTATATACTGTATTGTTACTGTATCTGTGTATATTCTGTGTCTCAGAATAATGCGTCACTATACCAAGTACTGATTTTCCGGGACTGTATGCATTGCTATTTACAACAAGCTGATGGCCACGGCAGGCCAGGTAGCCCAGCCCACGCAGTTGGTTGGAAGGGATCAGCAGCCCCTGCTGCCAACACCTCTTGCATCAACCACAGCTCCTTAACGCCTTTGTGCTGCTGCTACAGACATGGCAGCAGAAAATAGTGTCTCCATCCCATTCACACACCACAACTATTTTTATAAGTGCCAGCAGCATGCACTGTCCTTCAGGTTATATCTGCCTGCCTGCTCATTAAAATGAGGGCAAATTCAACCAGGGAAATTGAAAGAGGGATTTCAAGTGAGTATGGCATGACCCTGGGTCTGGCAGTGGCAAGAAAAGCAGAAGCACTCATGAGAATACATAAATGATGCCCAATCTAAAGCGTTTACAGAGCTAAGAAGTGGTTAATGAGCAGTAAGTAGTGGGTTTCTGGTAATTTTGAAGCTTCTTTGTCAGAGACTTGGCAACCTGCTGTGTTTTTTAAGTGGCTAAAAGACAGAAAATGGCTCAGTTTCTGCTGGGTACTGGAGCATGCCCGGGGTTTGCGTCCTACGATGAGGAGCAAGGGGTCCCAGGGAGGGCCACAGCTGAGTCCACCTGCAGATATGGGGAACACCAGTGCTGGAGCAGTCCTGGCACTGTCATGGTTTTGGCATCTGCTCATCGTGGGAAATGAGAATTTCAAGCTCATCACCAGCATAAACTGGTGCAAGCTTGATTTTAGGGACAGGTAATACCAATACCACTGAAAGCTTTGCTGCTGTTTCCTTTGAGATAGTGGTATTGATCACAGCATGCAGAATGGTCATCAGGACCCTTTGCTGGCCTAATCCAGCTATTCCCATTTTCCTTTGTTTCCTCTCTTCCTGCTAACACATCTTATTTGTGAACAACTGACATTTAATTTCAAAGCAACTGTGAACACTGATAAACTAAATGCTACAAGAAGCAGTTTTCTCATGAAAACGTTACCACCTTGTGTAATCCACCTTTCTGAAGAACAGCTCTCTCCTCACAGGCAAGGATGTACTTTACTCACAGCATGGGACCAGCTAAGAGCTCTCTATCGCCCTGCTCTTGTAAGCAGGACTGAGCCATATAAAAGGCAGGAAGCCACCTGGGAGCACTTTCATTCCCATCCCTGCCCATAATTATTTTAGTCTCTGCTCCAAGTTTTCAGCTTGCTGGCAGCCACTGGTCACTCAGAGACAGGAATACAGATCTTGGAAGACAAAATCAAAACATCCAGAACTGCAAAATGTAAAGCAAAAGTGAGGGTCACACATACTCCCCAGGCTTTTAATAGTCCCTCCTGATGCAGTTTGCATCATCTCATCATTGCTGATATTTCAAAGATCTTTGAAATGTTGCAAGCACCTTTCCAGGAATGACATGGAATGAATAACTTCAGACCCAGAACCAACATTTCTTCTGGGAAAGTTCCTCTCTTGAACAAATGTTGGCTTCAGAGAGCAGTGAGTCACTTCTTCAGAGCCTCTCCTTACCAGGCCCAGTGCCACGTCTGTCCCCTTCTGGCCACAGACTTGAGCTGCTACCCTGAACACCACTGGCACTGGCTTTGCCTCCCTCTCCTGCCCTCTCACCAGACTGACAGGGGACATTCACAAATTGTCTATAAGGCAGGAGCATACAAAGAAGAGCCTGTCGTAATCCCATGGGAGTTCAGCAGAAGGTTGAGGTCTTTCCTACTCCCATCACACAGCTTAGAAAATATTGAAAAGCTAATGGACATTGCTGCAGCATCAGGGATGAAAATCTACTGTTCACTGGCTTTGGCTTAAATCAGTAGTTTGAGTGTGCAAGAAATCATGGAATTAAAGACAAAGCCTCCAAGTGCTAAACTATCAATATGTACTTCAGGCCAGGATCCCGAATTTCATACCATGTTCCAATGTGTCTGTAACGCCAGACCCTGCTGGGGGGCAGTGGATAGGGGAAAAAAAATATAACAGAAACAACCAACACAAACAAGCCTGCAAACAAAGCTACCTGGCTTGTTTCCACTCCGGAGACACATACTTCTCCCAGGCAGAATCTTTTAGGGATAACATTCCCAAATCACTCGAAGATGCCTGCCCATCCTTTCTTGTTGGTTGCTATGGTGAGAGATGACGGAGCCCCAGACGGGTATAATATGAGGCAGCGCACGAGGAAGGGATTTAGCAGAGGCAGGAGGGAGGCGAGCGGTGGGAAGAGGGGAAGGCGCTGCCCGCCCGTGGCCACGCTGCTCACCAGCACCACCGGGCCACCGCCGACCTGCCCGGGGAGGTAAGCGGCTGCCCGTGGCTCTGGGAGGGCTCAGCGATGGGCGCGTGTGCTGTTCTGCTCTCCATGTAAGAACGGTTAAAACAGTCGTTAGGATGAGCTAATTTTTGAGTGAATTCAAGTAAAGTTAGTTACAGTAAAAGAGAGGGGAAGAAGGAAAAAAAAAAAAAAAAACAACAAAAAAATCCCCAAAACGATGCTATTGCATGCAGCTCTTGCTCAGAGCAGTCGGCTGGTCAGGAGAGAAAACCCTGCAAAGAGGCTCAGAGAGCACTTTGGGGATCTAAATCAGTGATGTACTGAAGTGACTTGTGGCTGTGATTTGTTAGTGGTTAGTGTCTTTTATCTGGGGGAGAGCTTTGTACTTATTATTCATATATTTGTATTTTCCTAAAGGCATTGGTTTTACATTTCACCAACCTTCAGATTTCACATTTAAGATCCTGATATTACAGTGTGAGATGCTATAGGAACAGAGTTTATATTCTATTATGCAGCAAGAAAGGTACAGAAAATGCAGTAACAACTTAAACCAGTGAATTAATCACTATGCAGCTTTTAAAATGGCATTTAGGTGTAAAATATTTGTTGGCAACTTCACAAGGCAAGCTCGAGCTAGTCTAATGATCAGTTTATGTTAATCACACTGGCAGTATCCTTTCTACTCCATGGGAAACAAAAAAGCTAAAAAAGCTTCCTATATAGACAACTAGTCAGAAAGGAGAGATTTTTTTAAAAAATCTAACCAGAGCATAAAGTATGCCCTATGTTGCAGTTGGTATTTTTGGTTATAATGCACAGTGATACAGTACGCTGGGCACCAGCAGGATTTATCTTTTGTAATTTCAGCCAGCTAAGACCTAGCATCTAATCTAAGCTAGCCAGGCATAGTCCTGAGTCCAGTCTAAGGGCCAATAAAGCTGGTGGAGAGACTTCACTGATGTCAGTGGCCTTTGAATTGGGAAACTCAGCCTCTCCCTGCGTCTGGTTTCAGGGGCACGATGAACATCGAAGTGCACAACATCACTTACACCAGCGCCACGGTCTCCTGGGCCATGAACAACCCCTGTCCAGAGAACTACTACCACGTCATGTACCGCCCCAACTGGAACAGTGTCTTTGCTGGCTATTTACGCCAAAACTTCCACCGTGAGGAGCGAGTTCCTCACCCCCTCAGCTCCCTCGTCCTCCACCAACTCACACCATCCACCATCTACGTCCTCTGCATCACGTGCAAGAACTCTTACCCCTCTGGCAACCACTGCACCACTTTCCACACTCTGGACAAAACCCCTCTGGTTTTCGGCGACTCTAAGCACGAACCTACCACCTCCATGTGGATGGTGAGCAGCCTGCTGCTCCTCTGCTTCATTGCTCTCCTGGCCTACGGCTGCCTGCAGTTCTGGTCTGCACGGTGCCACCAGGCTGCGAGGCTGAAGCACCCCGATGCCAGCCCTGAAGAAGTGGACGAAGGGAGCAGCTCGCCAGAGGGGCCACTGAATGACGGACTGAGAGAGGAGCTTCTGGAAGTCCCCATGACCACTGTGCTAATGAGGAGCTCCAGTTTCATAAGAGAGAGTCCATACAGCTCCCCCCACTGCTTTTTTTCCTATAAAAACAGTGATGATAAAAGGGCCATCTTGCCGCAGCACGGTCTTCAATGAGAGCAAAAGAAAGGGAAACCCTGCCTAGAGGTTTGGTTCGCACTGCTCTTTCCCAGCTCTTGCCAACAGGACTGTCTGTGTGTCCACGGGGGCTGTTTGTCCCAGGGTGGAACATGAGGTGGGGATAACAGTCGCAGGGAGAAAGATTTTTGTCAAGTGACAAAAATACTCTCATTTGCTGAGGGTTTTTAAAAAAGAAAACAAGTCAGCTCTCTGGGAACAGCCAGGCTTGGCTGACTATAGTGTCATTAGCTAATCTGCATCAGTGCTGTAGGTTCATTTCAGAGTCATCAATCAACATGCACAAGAAATAAACACCACTCAAATAGTTTCACACTTGAATGATCCTCCACAAGCATCACACCCCAAGCCCTCATAACACTTGTATAAACAGTCATCACAGCCTGACAAAAGAGCTTTTTGTCAATATTAAGTAGTCTATATTTGCACACACAGGTATTTTCGGAAGTCTCATTTTGAACTATAAATGGGATTCCTGAAGTGGTAACTTCCTTGGGCAGGGGCACTGCTTTGGAGCTCCAATTTGCTCTCCTCTGTGCATTTAGATGGATGTCACTTGGTCTCAGTGCTAAACACCAAGCACAGAGCAGTGTCAACATCCCCTAACATAGGCATGTTATGAAGATTATGGGAAAGCAATAGCAAAAGCACACTGAATCTGCTTCTTGCATGGCTTTTTTGTTTCGCACGGCAGTGTGACCCTGCACATTTGCACCTGACATTCTGTTAATGAACTAGTTCTTGTATTTCTTTCTTCCTAAATAAATACTTCCAACATCCACCACTTCTGTCTGTCATGGCTCATTTACTGACCTTGGATCCATAGAGGTAATACGGCTGAACGTTGGCTGGCTTGTCCCGCTGGGGTTCCTGCGTGAACGGGATTGCTGTCCTCACAAACCTGCAGCGTTTGTGGGAGGAAATTGGGAGGTGGGGAGGAAAGTGATCAGAGCCCGGTTAATTGCACTGAGTGCAGATATGGCACAGTCTGGGATGAAATGCAGTTGCAGACTAATCAGCAATTCATCACCTGAGCTACATGAACTGGAAAGCAAACTCTTGCCCTAGTCTGTTGGTGGTGTAAACCATGTCAGCTTAACCTACCAAAGGTGGGGGTTTCCTCTCATTTGGGGCAGGCAAGAAACCCACGAGTCGCTACCACAGCTCAGTAAACCAACCCTCTAAATCAAACTAGCTCAGTTGCTTGCAATCACTGTCCAACTTTGTTGCTTGAATTTGTTACTAACATTTTCAAAGCCAAGGGGAACTGGAACTTTAACTTCCTTTTAACTGTAACTGTTGCATCCCATAAGGAATGAAAACCTCACTGTAATGCATGTGAATTTTATGTGGCAGGCTTGACATTTTGGAAGGAAAAGCAGGGTCTCCAGGTGCCTCCTGCCTTGCTTTTTCTTTTCACCTGTTGGTGGATCCATTGTAGCAGTAGTTGGGTAGAAAGTCAAAGTTGAGCTCCCAGAAGACGTGGAGGGTGATGCGCCCATAGGGTGCGGAGACGTTGTGGTTGGCCTCCCGGAACATGGCATCAAAGCTGTCCAAAGTCATGTGCTTGCACAGCAACCTGTGAGTCAGGCGATTTATTTCCAAGAGCCACTCTAGCTCCTGCAGCACATAAAGCAGCAACAAATGCAACGTGTTACCAAGATGACAACAGAAACAGCTGATTTAATTGCCAGGGGAATGACTTTATATCCACAGCCACACAGACCCTTCCAGGTGAGGATGTCGCAAATGCTAAAGACATCAGTTTAACTCAGTGGCCAAAGCCAACTGCACTTCTACTCAAGGGGTCCTGGTCCAGTATCTTCTAAACCTGCGGGAAGCAAAATTAATTTATTCCCTACTGAGCACTGGCTGGCTTTCACATCAGAATCCTTCAAAGGTGGAAACTGGTCATTTTACACTACTTGACTCTGATGCTCCTGTAACATTATCAAAGGCAGCAAATCCTGTACAGACAAACGATGTCTCAGCCACATTCATCCAACAGGGGGAATTAAAGTCAAGATTTCCCTCTCCCAGATGACAGGAATCTCTTACAAGAGGTCTGCAAAATCTAACTGCTGACTGTCACCTTATGATCTATGCAGATACTTAATGGTCCAATAATAATGCAACTAAAGCTGCATAAACAGAAATAGCACAGCCTCAGCAGCTTAAAGGAGGATACATGGCTGGCTGAAACCTACTGTATGTGGGACTTGAAGCAGAAGGCAGTTGACTCTGTATCCACAGTAGTCTATTATTCTCTCTGTTCATACTCACAGTCAATAACAGTTCTTACCACTATGGATGTCAGGTCTTCGCTCTCAAAGCGGCTAATGGCCTGGTCTAATGATTTGTACATCGCTGCTGAGATACGCTGGGTAATGAGCCTGTTCAGGTCAATTGATCTACCCAGCAACTAGGAAAAGAAAAGAAATTTTCATGTTATACACAGATGGAGAAAAGTTTTGGTTTTTATTTATTTATTTATTTATTTAACAGACACAAATTAAAATCCAAGTCTACTTGAATGTTAAAGTGGTGATGCAAATGCCTTGGTTGAGTTTACCATTACTTCAGGGGGAAATGTGGATTGTAACTTATTTCCCCCCCGGGCCCAACACCCTGAGTGCAGTGTGTCAGAAACTGGTTCAACCCTTCTCATTCTTGCACTGACATCGACTGAGCCCAGCACTAGGATGCCAGCCACCAACAAAAGGATAATAGACCAAGAGCTATGACTACTGGAGACTACTGCTGGCACTGTACCTGGACATGCCTCTGCTTCAGCAGTGTTTCGTAGCGGTTGGATGGTGGGTATGGAATAATCACCCCGTAATTCTTACATTCAGCCCGGAAACGTTTGTCCAATAAAACACTGAAAAAAGGAAGCAGTGTCAGGAAAAAAAGAAACATCCACTATCAGCTTCTCTGGATCTTTTCCAGAGTTGTTTTCATCCTTCTTTTCATATTGCTCTGAATGCCAAGAAATTTCCACACACTAATAACTCTGCTTACATCACTAAATCACAGAGCCACAGTTGTTATCTGAGGACTGCCATGCTGCTGTACATCATTCTTGGCTTTTATGGCTAAAACATTCAAAAAGATAAAAGATTGTGCTGGAAGATATCCCTAGCACCAGGTATTGGGGTAGTCCCACAGATGTGGTCCCTCCTTGAAGGTCTGCTGTGGGAACATTTGCTTGGTGATGGTAATTGCTCTCCTCCTCTAAGGACAATGTGATCAAGAGACAAAAGTTGAACAGTTACACCGAAGACTTGGTTCACCTCTGGGGACGTGAGAGGAGGACTCTCACTAGAGTTCATCCATACTCTTTAAATTGGTAAGAAGGAAAGGTCACAAAGGGCCCATCTCCCCATAAAGGAGCAAGCAACTCTGCAGAAGTCCTACAGTCAGCTGGTCTGATGTGTGACCTAAGACACTAAGTACCCTTCTAGCTTTTACAAGTCCTCTGCTTTACTAGAGTGAGGACAAGTGCATATTCCTGTTTCGTAAAGATGGGAGATTTCCACTCATCTGCCTGGTACACAAACAGAAGTCAAGCAAGGACATGTCTTCAGTAGGCTCAGTTTGTTTTTCTGGTGCTCTCACAAATTGTAGTCAGACCTCTACTCAGGATGCCAATTATTATTTTTTCACTTTTAACCATGTCTCCTTGCCACCATTAATTCATATTCCTCATCCACACTGGTCTGACATAGATAGCCAATTCTGTGAGACAAGGATGATCTATTTTGTTATGTCTACTTGCAGCGGCTACTCCATCAGGGGAACATTTGGTTAACAGCAATTTGGATGCAGCGATATCATCAGTCATCAGCAGCAGTCAGGTTCTCCTACCTGCCAGCCATTGCTTTATAATAGGCAAAGATCTGATCTGCCAGCTTGTACACAAATTGATCAAAGCACAAATTCACCTGGGGGAGAAAAAACAAGACTTTGTGAGGGTGTCACCAGCACAGAGCAGCTCCTTCCTACTTATTCAAGATCAATACAACTCAACAAAGAGCTCTAATTTAATACATACATGTACGCCACACTATCTAAAAACCGCACTGCAGTTCTCACATGCTAAAAGTAAGCGGAAAGTTGCAGTTACATTTCTCTCTTACAGCTTCTGCATGTTCTTACAGGTCTCAGTCCCCCAACCTCAGCCATACTTCTCTCTCAGGAATCTCATTTCTCGTTACCCTCTGCCCATCAGACCAACTCTTCCGTGTCCCCAGTGTTTGACAGCCTTTGGCTTCCACAGTTCCCCATGTGTACAGCTAAGCTGATGCCCATAATCAGCAGTCTGTAAGCTTTCTGGAAATTTTTATCTTTTAAAGATTTCTCAGTCTGATGTAGTATTTTTTTCAGAAGATGCTTATAATAAATTCACTGAAATGCTGGGTGGGGCTGTCAAACAGGGCAATGTGACTCCATTGAGCTCCTTCCATACAATAAAGATGAACAGAACTTACTTCAGCCTCAATTTCATCGTATAGGAACTGCTTTTTGAACTTGGTCAAGGCGTAGTATGCGCTGTCATTATAGAGGTCCAAAGGGTACAGTACGTACCTGAGGGCAAGAAGATAAATCATGTCTTAAACAGCATATCAGCATAAGTGGCACCCAGTGCATGTACCTTGCTTGGTGCAAAAAAAGGCTTTTCTCTGACTTCACTCCTATCACTTCCACTCCCTCCAGCCCCTCAAATACTCCCTCTTGCTCCCTATGTCCTGCTGGAAGCAGATGGAACAGATCTGGATTTGAGCTAACTGTGACTTGTTCAATTGACACTTGCTCCTTCTCTGCCCTTAAAAAAGCCCTCACTCCACAGGGTGCTCTGACAGTGGCTGTAAAATGGAAAACAAAGTTTTCCTAATGAGGAAGATATTATGAACATGCATAACAGCAATTCCTCTCATAATTTATCACATCTCTTTGGTTGCACATGCATCCAAACAGAGTAGTTGCCAACTGCTGGTTTATGACGCGTAAGTGCCAGTGCCAGAAAGCCACCTGTGTGCGTCTGCTAACAAGGTATTCATACAGTACACATTCGTGTGACAGCAAGTCAAGAAACATCTATTTTCCTTCCCACATCAAAAAGACTGTTCATCACCAGCCTACCCTTTCTCCAAAAAACAAAATCCTAAGCCCCAGCACATGCACAGTCCCAACACAGCCCATGGACTTACTCCATCATGGAGGGTTCTTTGGTTTCCAAAATATGGTCCGTGAGGATCCAGGGCATGGACATTTCGATGGGGAACTGGATGCGGCGGCCCATGGTCAGCTCCAGGAAGAATTCCCGGAACCAGAGCTGGGACAGGTCGCAGCACTGCTGCAGTGCTTCTGAAACACAGAGGAGATCCCCCCGGCAGGAGGGCACCCATGTTACTCCCACAGAGATGGCAGAGAGGGAAGTTCACAGGAGGCAGCTGCTGCAGCCTCACATTGGACTGGTTCTGGGTATGGAACATTTTCTACGATGTCTCTGTTTTTAAACCCAGACTATGTCCATGCTGTCTGAGCACTTTGTAATGGAAGAAGAAAGAAGAGATCATTGCTTTTGCTCTAGAGCTCCAGGGAGAACATTTCAATGGCTCAGAGTTACTCTGAAAGATTTCTTCTATTGCCCAGTGGCACAGAAGTTTGTCTGGGACAAAAAGAAAACTCCAGTCCTAGAAAAAAATCTACCACCTGTGGCTATATGCTACTGCCAATTCATTCTTGTTCACGTAATGATTACTATGTAGAAACACGCCTGAA